CTATTCCAGTCCAGCCTCCACCTGCCATCAGGGTTAACCTTCTATGACGCAAGTCTAATCATGTTACTTCCTTAACTAAAACTTGTCACCAGCCCTCCACTGCCACTAAGATCAGTGCAAACTCCTTGTCCCTATTCCTGAGGCCACCTGCACCACACAGAACCACATAGTTCTCCAGGTGCGTCACAGTCCTTCATGCTTCTGCCCAGAATACTTTGACTCAAGGGTCCGTCCTTTCAAGTCTTCCTTAAATCTCAGGAATAAAGATGATACGATGTGTATAGGTCATTATCTTGGGAAAGAATAAGACTGGTAACTTCTGTACTATAAGTAGGCAGGCAGAGGCACCAAAGTGGAGACAGCCTTGGTGGGAGAGCAGACAGCCTCTTCTACTTCACCTTTTTCACCTCTTCACCACCGCTGCCACCACCACCACACCACACCACCGCATACCACTGCATACTACCACACAACACACCACTACCACACCTCACACCATCACACACCACTACCACACCATACCACCACTACACACCATCATACACCACCATACCACACCATACCACCACTACATACCATCACACCACCACACACCCACCAACCCACACCACCACAAAACACCCCCAGACATCACACCACCATAGCACCAAACACCAAACCACATTATCACACACCATCACACACCACTAGCATACCACACCATGCCACTACACACCATCACACCACCACACACCATTGCACCTCACATCACACCATACATCACCACCACCAAACATACCACAACCATCTCACAACATCACCACGACATACCACAGCGCACCACCACATCACACCACACAACACCACATCACACACAACACCACTGCAGCAATTCCAGCTGCTATGCACACTGGCTACTGTTCAAACTCTTTCTCATTTGTTCTCTGCCTACTCCGTAACGCCTCTTTTTCCCTACTGTGTTCCGCTACCTTCACCCGTAACAATCCCCATACTCTTATCCATGCTAGCCTAGGGGCTTAATTTCTTACACTAAATAGAAAACATTTTTCAGCCGGGCGCGGTGGCTCAAGCCTGTAATCCCAGCACTTTGGGAGGCCGAGGTGGGTAGATCACAAGGTCAAGAGATCGAGACCATCCTGGTCAACATGGTGAAACCCCGTCTCTACTAAAAATACAAAAAATTAGCTGGCCATGGTGGTGCGTGCCTGTAATCCCAGCTA